TGTATTAATTATACATTTATTTGATATTTATATCTAGTCAACGTATAAAAAGATTTTATTTAAATGAGTGTAAAATTAGTATGAAATAGTAAATATAATTTGCAATAGTAAGCATGTGAATGGGTAATTTGTAAACAGGAATTCATTCATAAAATAAATTCAAAAATTAAATTAGGACGTTGTGATCAAAAGTGCCTAAGTTTTGAACTGAAATTTGCTATAGAGAAAAATAATAATTGAAATATTTTTCAGAAATTTAAGCGTATCATAAAAATAATATTATACAATATTAAAATGTCTCAATAATAATGTAGAAAATATCAGAATAGTGTATTTAAAAAACCACCTCACTAGATTAAAAAGAAACTATCTACACACCTCAACTAGTTATCTTTTATTCATTTATTTATTATATTTTTTTTATTTTTATTGTGTTTATCTTATAATTAGTAATCATCATATTCCTATTAGATATAGTCAATATTTTATAGTCAGTCATATATATTTAATATTTTATAGTCATATTGCATTCATTTATCTTATTAGCAGTATCTGCTTATTGTTTTTGTAAACTGTATAAGTTAAAATAAAAACAAAAATAATAATAAAGAAAATATAAAATAAATTTAATCAGGTTCAAATCAATATAGACTAAATAAATAATATAGTGTAGGGCGGGGCACAAAGCTCCAATTTGACTTTGAGCAATTATATTGTGAAAATCAAACAAACAACTATCTGACTATGTTCAGTAAAACTCCCAGCTAATTGTAGAAATGTGTATTTTTGCTCTTTTTCAAAAATTTGTCACCTGGTCTATAGGTGAAAAGAATTTAAAAGAATTTTCCAAATGTATCCATTTTTTTATTAATTTGAATAAATTAATCGCCGGCTTGTAATCTAATTAAACTGGAAACACAGTTTAGCATTCATTTCCAAGTTTGTGCCAACGGCTTTTTTCGTTATTGTAATTTATAACCGTTCTCTGCCAAAATTTGTTAATTATTTTAAACAGGCCAGCGCATCGGTTATTATTCCGATAATAACCCATGCGGCCAATTTAGTTGTATTAATGACTTTTTTATGCAGATTAAATTTCATATCGTGATATATTCACGTCGATATATAGTCATTTGGGAAGTTTTATGGATACATTAGTAATTAATTTTATCTTAAGTATACAATTTAGGTGAAAGAAAATCAATACGATATATTAGGACACAATGAGGCGTTGTATGAAGTTTGAGATTTTACATTTTGATGGGCAATGCTTTCTTTCAGAAAAGTGATTTTATCCGTTTTTGGTGCAGTTTGCTGATACATATAAGGGAGTTATGGGCTTGTTGTAACCAATTCAATTGAAATAAATCTATAACTAATGTTCATTATTTGTTCACAATTAATCACTATCAAAGTTTAATGATTTTGAAACAAAATAAGATAAATAAATTTATAATTAGTCGACAATAATAAAGCAAACGGAAATTTCATGATAGCACAATTTTATATTAGATGATAAAAATGACGGACCTACGCAGTTCTGTATATTGTGTAGGCCTGCGGGGCAGTAGCTATGTAGGACAATTTACATGTTCAACAGAGACTTAAAAATATTTTAGTATCATTAGGATCCTCTTGAAAAACTAGCTACCCCTGTTACAAATAGTCCCTAGCTCTCCTATATTATTCAATATTAGCGCAATACAATACTTTATCAAAAAAAATTAAGATATACTATTTTCTACATACTGCATGTAGTACATATGCATTGAAATATTTATGGGTTGAAATATTTTTTAAAATCACGAACATGATTATTACGTCCTCATTATGGCTCAAAATACTTCCATATCCCGAATAGTTCGACATTTGAATTGAATTTAAATAAATTGTTTATAGAGCCATTCTGTTCTTAAATTCCATTCTCTGTTACAGTTTTGGAAAAAATCTTTACGATGTCGTTCACCTAATTTATCTCAAAATAACGTATAAAAAGACGTGAAAGCTCTAAAATACTCATAAAATTATATGAGATATATGACAGGTATATATCACATTAAAATATGGAATAGAATACATTAACATACTAAACTAAACAGTATCGGATGTTTTACAAATGATGTTCGTGCTATATAATTCCATAATTTTACATCAAACCATTTGTTTTAAACTAATAGGTTCAATGTAATATTAATTTTACTTCTAGTTCTTCATAAATATTTTTTTTATTTCCTTTGATCTCAATAAAATTTTATTTATTTTAATAATAGTATCAATCATTTTTGAAATTTCAACTTTAAACCGTCTTAAAGTTTTCTTAATTAAATACAGTAAATGAAATTAGATAAAAAAAGAAAAGTTATAGACATATTCATCATTTGATATTAAAATCAATATTTTGTATTATTCGGTTAACAAAGAATAATATTTTCTTTCCAATATATTTAAATAACAAAATTTAAGTAAATAAATTTTCAAATTACAGAACGTTGATAAATTAATATAGATAATAATTCATACACAAAAGAACGATTTTTTTCAAATATGTCTAAAAATTTATAAAAAAAACAATCATTCATTTTACAAAATAGACCATCAAGATTTTTTTTAAATTCATGTAAGAATTTATAAACAAACTGTAATTATATATTTTCAAAAATGTTAAACGAATTTATAAACAAATTGAATTTATTTATTTTAGTTTGGACCATACGTGAAACTAGTCAAGGAGATTTACAAATGGTGTTTTTTTTTACTGTTTATAATTTTTAGGTATGCGTTATAATTGTTTTGTAAGATGTATTGGTATTTTTAAGTTAGATTCAACGGCTTTTTTATATAACCTTTATAGAAGCTTACATGTGGCTGGGGTAAAAAGGAAAAACTAAACCTTTACATTGGCAAAGGATTGAACAATAAAAAATAGTAAATAAAACAGTAAATTAAGTTAAAAAAGCAATTTTACAAAAATAAAATCAATTGTTAATCGACATCTGCTGGAGAATATTTCTTGTAATATCTTTGTAAAAAGTCCCATGAAATTTGTATTTCACATTGGTTAAATCTTGCATCTATATTTTCGTAAAATTCCTTCAAAATTAAGAAAGAAACACGTTGGATCTGTTTTCCCCCTAGCTGTCCAGAAAGGGACAGATGACAAATTTTGGAAAATTAGTAAAAAATCTTATTGGGAATTTTAGTGAAACATAATTCGATACTCCTTTGTTTGATACATGTTATGTGTTATCATAATAATAATAATAATGAACAGTAGTCTGCCCGAAGGCAAGTGCATCCAGTGTGAGACCATCACAAATTAATGATTTCTTTTCCTCGCTTGTTAACTTCCCGTAGGGTAAGTTATTGTAATGGGCCGAAAATCGGAATTGAAAATTTTTACATTTCTCGACGTTTTGAAGGTTTCTGAACATTTTGGCATACCTCAGAAAAATGGATGTGTGTGTGTGTGTGTGTGTATGTGTGTGTGTGTGTGTGTATGTATGTGTGGATACAAATTTCCAGTCACGTTTTAGAGCGCACGGATCAACCGATTTGAATGGTTCAAAAAACATTCGATTCCTATTGATAGGGAAAAGAGCTGATTAGTTTTTGACAAAGGCAGGTCCAGCCGTTTCGGAGATACGGAGTAAAGAGTGCGGAAAATAGAAATCGAATTTTTGAGAGAACGGAGTATCCGATTTGAATGATCTAAAAAACATTCAATTAGTATTGATTGGGAGAAGTGTTTATTAGTTTTTGGCAAAGGCAGGCCCAGCCATTTCGAAGATACGGAGCTAAATATGTAAAAAATGGCAGTTTTTGAGAGAACTAAGCGTCCGATTTGAATGATTCAAAAAACTTTCTGCTTGTCTTAACAAAATAATTGATTTTGGAAAAAAAAATTTTGTTCGATTTTTTTTTTTTTTTTTTTTTAGTTTTTTGTTGAAACAAATAATTTCAACTTTGCAATTCAGTTTATATAATTCTTATAAATATTAGACAATGTTACAATATTTATAATAATCTATTTGAAAACATTCAGTATTCCTCGAACATTTCGTTACGGTACGGGAAGTTCCAGCAATTTGCCTTAAGGCACGATGCCACCCACCCCACTAGTTTATTATTCTAATTATCATCTTTTTACCACTAATACACTCCTTTTTATATATACACCTGTATGCATTTTCCTTTCTTAACTTTTGCTTCCATGCTTCCTGATCCTGCGCTTCGGCTTTCAGATCTCTATATTTTCTCTTCTCATGTAAGTCATCAGTAGTTAATTTACTTTAGACAGTATAGTTACTGAAAGTCAAATTGGACCTTTGTGCCTCACACTATTTTAAATGTTATTGAATCAAAAACTCTTCTAAAGCAATTCAATTATTCCTATCAGCTCACAAGCATAAGTACAAATCATACCCTGCAAAAAATCTGCCGAAAGATGCTCATGAAATAAAATTCTTTATAAATTTTTTATTATGATCTATTAAAGAACAATTCAAAATACAGTTAACAACATTTATGTAGAAATCAATTTGTGTAATGTTTCCTGTTAAGATATGTCTAAACTACGAGATAATATTATGAATCCATTTCCTCACATTTGGGTGTTTTGATACCATTCAATTAAATGTAGTGAATCTCTGTGCAGATCGGCAGATATCGCCGATATTGTTTGATACAGGGCCGGCATTTGCGATGTTCTTTGCATATGAGCCGATGCTCGCACCGTGTTGCTCAATAGGATCGTTGCTTCTGACAGTGTCGCCAAAACATTCGAGACCTTGACCATCTGGTCAACTATGCCTGATGCTGATCGGGGAGTTACACCGCACGCGATCGATAGTTCAAATTTCACACTAAATATTCTTGAATCAGTCGACATTGCTCGAAATTCAAACGCTAAGCGTTGAAACTGACGAGCCAGATCTGGTGACAGATATGGCGTTTCCGCCAATCTGGCGAATATTGTCGCCGCCTCTGTTAAAAACCAAACACTTCCGACATATTCACCATTTGATTTAAATAATATGAAACTTGAGTTTCATTGGTATTAGTATTGGCCTCCATCTATAACTGGACGAAGAAATAAAGTTATTTTCAATTCGAAAAATAATTATATATGTATATAATCAGGTATAACATATATAAAAAATATGAATTTCTTTGAAAAATTATTTTAAAATCCATACGTTTCGGCTATAATCTTAACCTTCATTCTGTGCAAACTAAAAATAAAATTTAGGAGCTTAGATGTATAGGGTCGGCAATCTAACTTTTTTTTTCAACTAGTGCTTATTTCGTGAATGGTAACACTTAGCTCATGTCTGATTTGACAGATAATTTGTTTTATCCTTCCGCTGAACCAATATGGTTGTGTATACGCTTGAACAACGCTGGGAAATATTGCGACATTACTTTGAAAGTCATGGTAATATTGGAGATTGCGAACGGATTTTGGAAGAAAAGAAGCACCGTCAGCTCCGTATCTTCGTTATCTTGTGAAAAAAAGTGAAAGAAACTGGCATCCTCATCGATAAACCAACGTGTGAAAAGCCAAAAACAGTGTGCGTGAAGCGCCATCGACATCAATTTACCATCGTTCTCAGCAATTGGACATTTCGGAGACATCATTGAGACGAATTTTGCATAAAGACCTTGGCATGACGCCATACAAAGTCCAATTGGTTCAGGAGTTGAAGCCATTATTAACCGGAAGGATTGTACTTTCAAATAAAAAAAGAAATTTGAGAAAATATTCAGTAGTTTTTTTTATTGCATTTTCAAAAAAAAAGTTATTTGGCGGACTTACAACTTGCTCAACCTTGTGTGAAGAATAGAAAAAACAATAACCCATGGTATGAGTTTTTGACTATATAATATAAACATTGAGTTTTTTGTACCTATAACAATGTTTCATAATTTTACTAAGTTTCTAAAAGGAGTAACAATGTAATAATACATGTGTTAACTCTGAAATAGCAGGAGACGAGAGGATTAGCAATAGAAGAGAGGATTTTTAGAAAAAAAAATTACCAAGATTTTAACATATGTGAAATTAATTCTGAGTTATTTGCACATTTTTATTGCTTTATAAGAAATATGTAAATACTATCCAGATAGCAGATATTGGTTTCGCACAACAAACTGAGGTCATTTCTTTTGTTTATTACACTCTTGTTATAAAATAAATAGTTATGAAAGATCCTTCAACGACATTTTGAATAAATTTTCTTCAAAATGTAGTATGGTAGGGTGAATTCAAAACTCAAAATCAAGTAATGTTGAGAATTTTTTAACAACAATTTGATAGTAGAGGGCAAAATATAATATAAATATAGAAGGGTATAACTAGCCTTGATTCTTAGAAGGTCGCTATCGGGAAAAAATGGCATTGTTTGAAAATAAATAATAAAACTATTTTTTCCGTTGTTAATGTTTTTGGGTGTGAGCACTGTTGTTTAGATTACGAGACCCTAATGTAATTTTTAAGTATACGTTATTTGATTGTTTTATAAGTTAGATTTGACCGTTTATTTTAAATAACCTCTATAAAAGCTTACACGTGAGTGGGGTAAAAAGGACCGGCTGAACTTTGCCCTGGCAAAGGTGTAAACAATAAAAAATAGTAAATAAAAAAATACAAGAGATAAATTAAATAGTTATTCCAGCTTTGCTGATGAATGTTTCTGACGAAATACCAGATCTAAGTTATATACAGTGTATCTCTGTAAAAAATGTACCCAAGAAATTTATATATTGCGTCGGTTAAATAATGCAGCTATTATTTCGTAAAATTCCTTTAAAATTAAAAATTAAACATTGGATCTGTTTGCCTCCTGGCTGTCCCATTTCACCCCGCCTATGGGGTAAAAAGGACCAGGTGACAAATTTTTGAAAAATTGCAAAAAACACATTTTTACAATGATGAATTAGTTGGGAGTTTTACTGAACATAGTCAGATACTTGTTTATTTGATATGTATTATTTGTTGTTATGTAAATGCTTTGGTTCACAATATAATTGTTCAAAGTTCAAAGTCAAATTGGACCTTTGTACCCCACCCTACCCTAATAAATACGCAAAATTTCTTTTATATGCACAATTAATAAATATGCGAAATATATAGTTATTTGCTTGAATAAATATTTTTATAAAGAAATTTGTAAACGAAAATGTTAAATAAACAACTTCTGGTTTTCCTACCCTTAAACTGATGCACTACGCTATGACGTAAGTAAACTTGTAACTGTGTATTATATAGAAGATGGAAAATCGATAGAGCTCTCTAGAAACAGCTGTGAGGCTGCATGGAGCCATTTCGACCTATATTCCCATTTCTTGTTTATGAAATAGTAGCATATGATTAGAATAAACGAAAAATATAAAAATCTGCAAATGAATTTCACGTAGTTTTCTGCAAGGTATTATTAATTATATCTTAAGTGTATTTTAATCAAGTTTAAAATATGCAGTTATTTGCGCTAGTTCACATGTACATCGAATATTTCTTATAATTCGTAATTAACTTTGGGCGTAATTTGTGCCAGAACGTTGGGAAATAATCCGTTATAAAATTATACATTACCAATTTATAATTTTTAATAATTAGAGTAAAACTACACAAAGTACAAAATTGAATAACGAATTCAAAGAACAATTATTTAAAATGCTATGCAGCATAGTGTTTTCATTAATTGTAATATAAGAGATACCAAATTATAAGTTTTTAAATTAGTTTATTATTATTATTATTATTATTCTTAAAATGTTAATTTTTTTTTAGTTCAATTGTTATGGTTGACAGTATATTCCACAGAATAAAGCCTAGGATGTTAGCCGAAACGTATGGATTTCAAATGAATTTTTAAAAAAGCATTCGTAACATTTTTTATTAATGTAACTCCCGATCTTTAAATCTAACTAATATATATTATAGCAACATCAAATTCAACATTATTCAAAAATAAATAAATGAATAGAATAAATAAATAAATAAATAAATTATATAAATAAATAAAATAAAATAAATAAATAAAAAGACAAGTTTTTGAAAAACAGCAAAGAGTCTTGAATTTGTAAATATTGCGTAGAGCTTCGAAAAAAAATCCAATTGTAAAACCAAAAGGTTTTGTGAAAATATTTTTATTTATTATCGGCGTTTTCGAACTAAGTACGTTCCATCTTCAGGATATCTTTCAAGAAACATGATCTTGATTAGAGATAAACACACTGGATTGTAATAAAATTAATAAATTTATGAAAGATAGCAAATTATATAAAATACAATAAAAAGAAATAAATTGATTATATAACAAAATATTAAAATAATAGCTAGAATTTAAAAAAATGAAAATTGAAGAAGAACAGAATTATTTACCTACATTATTGATTATACACTAACACTCTATCACTAAAAACATTTTTTTTCAGTAAAAAATCTAAATTTGTTTTTATTCACACGACAAGGATCTTCAGATCTAATTCTGTCATTGGCATAGCATTTAAAAATCATAGTTAATTTGAACAGAAAATGACTTGTTGAGTAGAATTTGAATAAATAATAGAAGAAAAGCAAGCTTATAATTCGAGAAGGTCAGATTTATAAGTAAAAAGAAGAATGAAGAAATCAGTTGTGAACAGTAAAAAAAAATTGGATAGAATAGGATATAAATAGAAGATAGTATATAATGTATAAAAATAGTATAGAATACATATAGAGATTAGTGTATAAAAATGAAATACTCCTATCCCCCTTTTTACACGATAGACACGTTCCATAAAAAACCGTGTAATTCGAAAAATTCACTTTTATATGAAAAAAACCGCGCTAAACGAAAATCACAAATCACAAAAAAGCCCTTTTTGTCAGTTTTTAATATGATAAATAACAAATACATTGAACGAAAAATAAATATTAATGCATTTAACATCAAACACATTTAATAAATTACAAAAATATTAATTTATTTCAATAATAAAACAAATAAAAAAAAACTATTTTAAACACTGCATACTTCTACTTTAGATAGAATAGAATAGATGAAAATTAAAATCGGTTTGTAAAGATATAACTTTCCTTTTAATCTCTAGTTTTTAATTTTCATATTTTACCATTGAGGAACTATAATAGATTTTATAAATTATATTTTGTAAAAAATGATTCTGTTATTTGCTCACCTTGAATAAATTCATGCTATCAATTATATATAAACGCTAATTAAAAACAAAGTCTAAAAACAATGATGCTCTTCATTTTAGTATTTGAACAAACTAGCTTGTACACCCATAAAATTTAGTTTTGATCATAAAATGTCCTGTCTTATCTACATATTTCCATCATAGAAAAGATTACTAAGAAATCATAACTAACATACATTTTGTAGTGTTGTATTTGAAATGAAACAACAATGTAAATGTTGCTGTAGATATAAGCAAATTATATATAGTGTTTATAATTCCGTGTAAATGCAAAATTAATAAATTTTATTAAAAGAAGTTATTTTCAAAAACCGTGTAAGATCGAAAACGTGTAAAATAAGTGTAAAACGGGGGATAGGTGCATTGTAGTAAGCAAGGCCAATAAAAAAAAAAGTATCATGTTTCTTGACAAATATCCTGAAGATGGAACGAACTTAGTTCCGAAACGTCGATAACAAATAAACGTGTTTTTCTTACCATTGGATTCTTTGTTCAAAGATTTACAAATTCAAGAATATATATATATATATATATATATATATATATATATATATATATACATTAGGGTGGTCCTTAAAATGGTCATTTTCGAATTTCCTTGCTCCCAGGGGCTCAAATGGTTCCAAATTGATAAAAAACAATTCTCTGAAAGTTTTAGCTCTTGATATTAACGTTTAGATAGAGCGCAATTCAATCAAACTTCGTATGGAAAGAGCATGGAAAAAATTTTGAAAATTTAAAAAAAATGTTTTAGGTATAACTTAGCGACAAATGAATGAGTTTATATCATTTATTCACTCGCTAAATTACATCTAAAAAACATTTTTTAAATTTTTGAAAATTTTTCCATGCTATTTCCATACAAAACTTTGATTGAATTGCGCTCTATCTAAACGTTAATATTAAGAGCTAAAATTTTAAGAGAATTGTTTTTTATCAATTTGGAACCATTTGAGCCCCTGGGAGCAAAATTCGAAAATGACTATTTTAAGGACCACCCTAATTATATTTATATATATATATATATATATATATAAATTTCGCGGAGCAAACAAACAAAATGTGTCACATTGTATGGGGTCCGCAAGTGTCGGAGTCGTGTTGTCCGGAATGCAGTCAGTCTTATCAGTTGGATAACGGTCGCTTCCACTGATAACCTATTTGCACAGATGTTTTTTATTGCATTATTTACAATCGTTAATTTCTCTTTCGTTCTCATGCCATTACAGTAATACAGTTGCATTTTGCTAAAATGCATTTTGTTCCGACTCGCTTCGCTAGACACTTCCACACCGCGACCAGACCAGACGGACGATTCACTTTCCCACATAAGAATAATGGACATTTTTAACAGGGATCAAGGACAAGACAAGGACTTTTTTGGGATCAGAAAATGCGATTTTTTAAAGTCATAATTCTAATTCGACTTGCAAAAGGTTTCACCAAACGCTATCATAGAGTCAACAGAGATTGAAAGTGTATCATAGTGTATCATTTATTAAAATAAAACTTTAAAAGGTTAAGTTAAACATTTAACGCTAGCATGGAAGAAGTATGGAAGTGGCCACGCGATGATTGTCCGAAAACGTTGCAGATAGTCTGAAAATGTTCTAGAAAGTCTGAGAACTTTCTGGATAGTCTGAAAATGTTCTAAATAGCCTAAAAATGTTCTATATAGTCATGTGTACCAGATAGTCTGAAAATATTCTGGATGGTTTGAAAATATTTTGGATAGTATGCAAATATTTTGGATAGTATAAAAATGTTCTAAAGAATCTCAAAACGTTCTAGATAGTCTCAAGGTGGACTAGATAGTCTGAAAATGTTCTGGATAGTCTAGAAATGTTCTGGATAGTCTAGAAATGTTCCGGATAGTCTAGAAATGTTCTGTAGAGTCTAGAAATGTTCTGGATAGTCTAGAAATGTTCTGGATAGTCTAGAAATGTTCTGGATAGTCTAGAAATGTTCTGGATAGTCTAAAAATGTTCTGGATAGTCTAAAAATGTTCTGGATAGTCTAAAAATGTTCTGGATAGTCTAAAAATGTTTTGGATAGTCTAAAAATGTTTTGGATAGTCTAAAAATGTTCTGGATAATCTGAAAATGTTCTGGATAGTCTAGAAATGTTCTGGATAGTCTAGAAATGTTCTGGATAGTCTAGAAATGTTCTGGATAGTCTAGAAATGTTCTGGATAGTCTAAAAATGTTCTGGATAGTCTAAAAATGTTCTGGATAGTCTAAAATGTTCTGGATAGTCTAAAAATGTTCTGGATAGTCTAAAAATGTTCTGGATAGTCTAAAAATGTTCTGGATAGTCTAAAAATGTTCTGGATAGTCTAAAAATGTTCTGGATAGTCTAGAAATGTTCTGGATAGTCTAGAAATGTTCTGGATAGTCTAGAAATGTTCTGGATAGTCTAGAAATGTTCTGGATAGTCTAGAAATGTTCTGGATAGTCTAGAAATGTTCTGGATAGTCTAGAAATGTTCTGGATAGTCTAGAAATGTTCTGGATAGTCTAGAAATGTTCTGGATAGTCTAGAAATGTTCTGGATAGTCTAAAAATGTTCTGGATAGTCTAGAAATGTTCTGGATAGTCTAGAAATGTTCTGGATAGTCTGGAAATGTTCTGGATAGTCTGGAAATGTTCTGGATAGTCTGGAAATGTTCTGTATAGTCTGGAAATGTTCTGGATAGTCTAAAAATGTTCTGGATAGTCTAAAAATGTTCTGGATAGTTTAAAAATGTTCTGGATAGTTTAAAAATGTTCTGGATAGTTTAAAAATGTTCTGGATAGACTTAAAATGTTCTGGGTAGTCTAAGAATGTTCTGGATAGTCTAAAAATGTTACGGATAACCTAAAAATGTTCTGGATAGTCTAAAAATATTCTGGATAGTCTAAAAATATTCTGGATAGTCTAAAAATATTCTGGATAGTCTAAAAATATTCTGGATAGTCTAAAAACATTCTGGATAGTCTAAAAATATTCTGGATAGTCTGAAAATGTTCTGGATAGTCTGAAAATGTTCTGGATAGTCTAAAAATATTCTGGATAGTCTGTAAATGTTCTGGATAGTCTGAAAATGTTCTGGATAGTATGCAAATATTTTGGATAGTATAAAAATGTTCTGGATAGTCTGAAAATGTTCTAAAGAATCTCAAAAAGTCTCAAGGTGTACTAGAAAGTTTGAGAATATTATGGATGGTCTGAAAATGTTCTGGATAGCCTAAAAATGTTCTGGATTGTCTAATAATAATTCTGTATAGTCTACAAATGTTCTAGATAGTATGAAAATATTCCGGATAGTATAAAAATGTTCTAGATAGTCTGATAATGTTTTAAACAGTCTAAAAATGATCTGGATAGTCTGAAAATGTTCTACATAGTCTCAGCATGTTCTCGATAGTTTGCAAATAGTCTGAATATATTTTAGATAGTCTCAGAATGCTAGAACATTCTGAAAATGTATTTTAGATAGTGTAGAATGATCTGTGCAGTCTAGTATATGTTCTAGATAGTTTGAAAATGTTCAGGATGGTCTGAAAATGTTCTGAATAGCCTAAAAATTTTCTAGTCAGTCTGAGAAAGTTCTACACAGTCTGGTTTCAGGTCTAAAAATGTGGCAAATCATCTAAAAATGTAAATGTAAATATGTTTATGTCTACCCCTTACTATTGTTTCCACATTAAAAAGCCTCTACGCGCGATCATTTTTTTTTATTAAATCTTCAGTCTTAGCTCAAAAGGACCTCAGATAAAAAAATATTACAAAAATCGTCAATTGATAAAGAGGCTTGTCCGTGGCTTAGTGTTTAGAGCTATGGGCTTCCATTCAAAAGTTCCAGGTTCGATACCCGCTTTAGACAACCACTTCAAAATATATATAGCAACGGTTTCCAAGAGAAAATATCCCGTACCGGGCATTGCTGCATAATTATTTTATATTATAGAAAAATAATAATTAACAGTGTTATTAGGTATTATTGAAGTAACAATTAACTATAAAAAATTCAAATTACATAATGCATTTGTCGCGGTCTAGTGAACATAAAGTTATTCACTCACTCTCAGAATACCACAAATTTCTCTTTTTATATTTTATAAACTTGCTGTGATGACTTCTTAATAGAATTTTTTGTAAGGCAACCCAACGGATGGCATATCTGTTTTTGATGAATTTATTATTATTAGATGCTATCTATATTTCCGAAGTGAAAACCAATGCCAATATTTGATATCAGGCTGTATCAAATATGGAAGTTTTGATTGGACGCCCATAGCTCTAAGCACTAATCCAGAAAAGTGTGATGACAATAACTTTTGCTCTTTACAATCATGTGTTATATTGAATTTTAGGACGATCTACGATATGTAAATTGTTACGCTTTAAATAACTTAAGATAATCTCATGAAATGCAGATTTATTTTGACTAATTGATACGGTAATAATATTTTAAATATTATATAATAAGTATTTGTTTTAATTGATATTGAACTATAAACATTTGTTTATGTTGATAAAATGTTTGAAAGCGATTACATACAAAACTGTGTTCAGAATCTTGTTTAGCAATTACAACAATAAACAATAAATAAATAATTAACAATACACAATTCTTATATCGCAATGTATAAATATTTAGTTGAAACCCATTCGGTGAAATGTAAATTAATAATTTCGATAATTGATATATGACATTATTCCCATCAGTCTATTTCTTTAGAACTACAGCTAGGTTAATTTAATGTGAAATTTGATGTGCTCTTTAGAGTACTTTGACAAGTACTTAAATATATATTAGAAGTGGATAAAATCATAAATAAATAAAAATAGGTAAATAAATAAAAATTAGTAAATAAATAAATATAAATAAAAAATAAATAAATAAACATTACCAATTAATCCTTTGATTTTCGTGCAGTAAAATCAATCAATTTTCGCCTCTTTATAATTCTTAAATGATGGTTGTTTCACTTAAGATGTATTTCACTGAATATGCGCTGTCCAAAATTTAACAATAAACTTGACATGCAGTTATGCTGCTCAATTAAGGCAAATTTTAGCCACCAATTTCAATCCTAAATACAATTGAATATCAACCTAGAAATAATCAAGAACGATATATCAAGTTATCTGAATCTGACCTACTAGGCTAACTACTCAATTCTACACAAAATACTAATACATACTACTTGCAAGTTAAAAATTTCACTATAACCAAGAACTCGAAAATGATATTAAAAATAATATGGTAAATAAACCAATAGCAATTAACCACAAATATAATGAGATGCCAATCCACATGGCAATGTTTATGATTATTTCATATCAACAATTTGTGGGGTGTTCGTGACACTGTTGTAAGCGCCCGGCTTTGCAATCACAAAGTCTTGAGTTCAAATCCACGCTTTGGACAACCAGCATTGATACGATAGACATTACACTACATGGATAGTCCTCATATGTTTTCCGTTGTATATAGTGCTCAAACATAGAAGGTACTGTGACGTCACTTGTTGAGCGAACGTTGCCGACAATCGCGGACTCTCCCGATTGGTCCAATGTCAAATGTCACATGTTTTATTTTAATGGCAATGGTGATGACTGATAATTTTGTAAGAAATGATATTAATATTAATATTTATCATGATAGTTAATTTAATTCAAATATTATCTGTGATAGTTATATTTCAATGATATAATAACTATCACAGATAATATTCAAATTAAATTAGATATTATGATAAATATTTTATTAATATCATTTCTTACAAAATTATCAGTCACCACAATTGCAATTATATTATTAAAATAATACATGTGACAATTAATCAATCGGGAGATCCGCGATTGTCGGCAACGTTCGCTCAGTAAGTGACGTTACAGTCCCTTCTATGTTTGAGAACTTATTTTATGCTCGACTTGCAGTCCATGTAAAGAAAATAACACTTCACAGCATGTCTGTAATAATTTGATCTAAGGCTAATAGATATTATTTCAGGCTCTTGTCAAGAGATTGAAGAAGACTTGATTTTTATAAAATCATTTGTAAGAAAAATAAATAAATAAATAAATCGTAGGGCTATGATATTTTAGGACGTTTAGATCACAAACTCTACCATCATGTTAGTTTAATAAAATATAACATGATTAGTAAACGGCTTTACTAATCAGTACGATTACCAACTGGTATCTTTCAAAGTGTTTTTAAACTTTCAAAATCGGTTCAGGATTTTTACAAAAATATTGACGAAAAAAATTCAGCTAGTACCAAAGAAACGACTCTGCCGATCGTCTCGTACAACTAATCAGCGCTAGTCTTTAACGAGTTTAATATCATGGATTCCTAGCTTTTGATAAATCACATAGAATATAAAATTGTAATCGGTGCAGTCGTTTTTGAGAAAACATCTATGAAAAGTCAAATTTTAACCAATTTCTGGAATGACCTGGAATTTCTTCTAATGACCTGGATATCAAGAAACTAGCAACTCCAGAAAATCTCTGAAGAAAACATTATCTTCTTATTCAAGAAGTTAATAAATAAAAGTAAAAATAATAGTAACAGAAATTATGTTTTTTTCATTTATTATATAGTAATTTTTACATCAATTCTGAAATAGACAAGTGAAACTGTAAGACAAAAAATTAAAAATACAAAATCTCCTGAACATTGTCAGAGATTTTAAAAAATTAACGTATGTGCAATATGAATTTCTCTTTCAATCTTGCCCCAGTGTTGTTGTGGCGTAGTTCTCTGGCAGGTGAATTTGGATGATCCTCGAGGCGACTTTTGTAATTGTCTGAATATGTTCGTATTACATAGCTTATTGTGTTCATATTTATGTATTGATCGATTCGGTTCATACTTTGGCATCTTTGAATTGTTATCACGTTTGATTGAAGGCTGATCTCCATAGTTGTCCATAGGTCTGTTTGTCCAAATTGGCTTAATATAGATGTGTATTAGTAAATTTTATTGTGCGTGTCATAATAAATAAAATCGTGTTTCCAATTAATATCGAAAAGTTTTCCATGAGTTTACTTAAAAAATCGACGATCAATCTGTTCATTTCCCTCCGTCCGTCGTGCGTTCCACGAATATTTACAACACTGTCAATTATCGCATGCTGTAAAAAGTTACGATTCTGAGATAATATCAGTTGATGTACAAACATAAATAAATATGACGTAATATCGCTTTTCGTTCTCAGTTTACATGTATGGAATTGTTCGTTGGCCCGATATGTACAATGTACAATGACTAAATGCTAAATGACTCCGCGCGTTCAAGTACTTTTGACGATTGCACAACCGCGTGTAAGCTCCTTTTATTTAGTTCCAGATTTATTGTCCTCGATTATTGCACAAACAATGAACGATTCGCTATCTCATTACCTCGAGGTAATGGTCTGTATGCCGATAAATTGAGTTGTAATTAAATATTTAATTCAATAATAGACAAAATGTTCCAAACTAGTTCTATTGACCAATTCTCATATACACATCTTACGATGCAGTCGCATCTATTTCGTGCAAAATGTTGTAAGTGTAAGGGCCCAATTCTCCAATGAAATAGAAATGTAACACAGTGTTATTATGGCAACGCTATATCACGCCTTCAACCATAGAATGTAGAATACATTATAAGGTCTATGCTTTGCCCATAAAAATTGGTAGTAAAGACAGTCAAAATGCTATGCATTTACTATGCAGTGTTTAAAATATGGAACTTAATCTAAAAAGACGCACAAACGTCAAATAACAATTTTATCATAAGTGCATCTTTTTGATGTGCCATCGACAGCACATACGTGAAGTTAGGTTTTGTTAAGGTAGGTCAATATATAACTGTAACAAATGTAGCTGAATGTACGTTGTATAGCTTGCTACGAATAATAAATTAAAAAAAAAGAAAAAAATACATAGCTTCTGGACAGTTTTTACTACCAATTTATATGAAGAAAGGTCCGTAACATAGCATTGCCTTAACATTTCTATTTTATAGGAGGACGCCTAAGGAGGCGTCCATTAATCACGTGAAGGTTTTAAGGGAGGAGGGAGAAGTCTAGTAAGATATCACGTGTATTTATTTTTTACCTGAATTTTCAAAAAACATACGATTTTTTAGTGAATTCAAAAAATTTGTTCGAAAAATTTTACAACTACACGTGTTGTTTAGTGGGGGAGGGGGGGGTGTTAATTTTATATATAAAGAAGTATCACCAAGAGGGACGGAGAGGTCCAAAAATCCTTGAAAAACGATCACGTGATTAATGGACGCCACCTAATAGTAACCTGTTTTCCTCAACTATTTCACCCATATATTGGTGAATCCTTGAACTAAAATAAAGTATTAAACCAACAGCGCTAAATGAAACAGCGTTTGGCGGGGTATTCCTGTATATGCAGATGCAAAATTGCCCAATTAGTCTAGTTGAAAATATATTTGATAGTCATGGATTTTAAGTTATTAGACAAATAAATTATGAATTATTGCTTTAGTTCAAGTTAATTTTAGTCAACTGTTGAATGCATTTTTATTGTCAGTTTATATTTTCTGACAATCTCGAGTCTCATTTTGTATATGTGCTAATATGAATAACATACAAACCTGTACTATATAAAAGTTTTTGCAAGTATCATAATTAACATATTAATTTTATTAAATGATGAAATATATTTTCAAACTTTTCCTTAAAGTCATACATCTACCTACCCTTGTTCATTGCGCAAATGCTTTATTAAATGCACTTCTTGCAAAAATCCTCTGATGAAAAATTATTGAAAGTATAATGTGTAAATATATAATTATTAATAATATGATATTACAACATAATGCAAATGCTGTATCTACCTGTAAATCTCAAGGAAAAGTATTATCCCATATCGAGCAGAATTAAAAATAATAATTTAAAGTGCGATAACACTTTATCTTATCTTGGAGCCAATACGATGCTAGTTTGATAAAACTGTTTGAAAAGTCCGACATATTCACTAAGTGTAATGGTATTATATTTGGGCATAATAAATGACAATGAATACTTTTATATTTAAACCTTACCAGCGGGCACTGATTCAAAAACAATCTACCAGCAACTCGATGCCGCATTCTGACAAAAACGTACCTGCCGTAAACTTGACATTGTGCAATTTGTTTTATGTGAATTTGTGGACATTGAAGAACATCATATGTAATAAGAACTAAAGTATCTAAGTACAGTAAAATTTAAAATAATTTCCAAAACGCAGAGAAGATTAATTCCAGTTTCGTTTTAATTAATTAGAACCGTGACAGTTTTTTATCATTCCACAGAAAAGTGTAATATATCGTTCTTTTATGTCTTTGTCTTTGTTGACAAAAATTTTGCTTTATGAATGACTCGGTCGTTTTATAATATTAAAAAAAAAGCTTCAAATATACTGATTAACATTTTAATATAAAAACACTATATTAAAAAAGTAAATATTTCATAAAATAATGCAACAAGAAGAGAATTTATAATAATTGATTTATTGATGAAATAAATAAAATTCTACTTGAGAAATACTTAGCGGGCCACAAAAAATTTTTGAAGGACCGCATGAAGGCTACGGGTTGCTCATCCATAATCTGTTATGATTTCGGTACAATGATATTAGCGAATTAAAGTATATTTCTCTGATAATGTTTACATAACTATATTTTCATTATACAGTATTTACTCCATAGTGCAGGTTGTAGAAATAGGACGATTGTGTCAAAAATCTTCTGTTTTATACTAAGCTAGAATATCCCCTCTTTCGCTTCCAGGTGATATCGTCACCAGAACCGTACTGGATATAATTTTGTTGTACTTTAACATATAGTATTCGATATATTATATTGGCAGATTCCAATATCATATCCATTGTAAATGCCGTCATTTTGAACTAATAAAAAAAAACTTCCTTGCCTTAGCCGTTTTCACCGCTATTGTTGTTTATATAATAATCAAACTTTTTTATTACTCAATGATTAAAATATATTTCTAAACGTTTCTAAATCGGTCTACAGTAAAATTTGACTCAAAATTTGAATCAATGGCGAAAATAGCTCAGTCAGTAGCATGCCCTACTCACACGCCAGGAATACTCGGGTCGAGTCTTGGCACTGACAAAAAATTGTCATTTGACGAGTTAGATTGAAATGAAGTAGAAATTGAATTTTTGATTTTAGATAGAATAGAATTAGAAGTTAAGAAGAAGCAAGGTTAGAAGAAAGCAGAATGAAGAAGTCAGTTATAAAGAAAATTGGATAGTATATATAAAAATATAGTATATGAAAATATATAAAAATATACTATATGAATAATAATGATAGTAAATGATATATGTATATTAAAATGGGTGTTTCATGGTGTAATGGTTAAGCGCATGGACTCGAGTGAACGCGGTCGTGATATCGAACCCCGCTCTGGATAACCTGACATCGTATGGTTAAAAATAGCCCGTTTCGGGTACTGCGTTGTGAAATGGCAATGAAAAATCTCTCACTATTCTTCCCTGAAACTGAAAATCTCAGGAAATGAAAAATCTCTCACTATGCTTTCCTGAAACTGTAAATTTCAGGGAAACTTTCCTGCAAATTTGCAGTCAAATAGTCAGGAATAAAAAAAACAATATATGATTAAACTATTTATTCTGTACGTATGTCATCATTCCAATATTTAACAAACTCATACCAGAAAAAAACACAAAAACATCATTAAAAAACTTTGTTCAAAGAAAGAAATTAATAAAATAAAACATTTAAATAAAAGGTAAACAAGAAAATTATGTAGTTACTAACATGGCTAGCAAAAATACAGATGCCAAGTCTCGTGAAATTTTTGTTAATATTATTTTAATATTATGTTTCGTGTTTTTCCTGATTTGTTTTTGACAAATTTGCTGAATGATGACACACATACAGTGCCAAAACGTACCGAATAAATAGTTTAATTATTTATTGTTTTTTTATTTAGACTATTGGGCTGCAAATAAACATTTCAAGAATATTATATTCTATTATATTATTATTAGGGCGGGTCGATTTAAAAGTCTTTTAGACACACATGATTTTCGGATTCTAATTGTAAGGATCAAAATAAGATACTTTTCTCAAGAAACCATACCTCTAAAATAAATTCCCGTGCATTGACCCAGAGATAAGTGTTAAATTTTGAAAAACCTCTCAGGGAGAGGTCTCAGCGGGTGAACAACGGGCATGGGTGGATCCAAAGTTAGTAGGGGGCGGTCATACGTTGGGACGCGATTGGGACACTGTGATTGGGTCAAAATGAAATTTTTTAAATTTTAACCCTTATTTTTGGGTCAATGCATGGGACATCAGAATTCATTTCAGAGTTACGGTTTTTTTCAGCAAGTATCTTATTTTGATCCCTAGCATCCGAAAATCATGTGTGCCTATGCGACTTCTTTCTTACTCACACAAATCGACCCGCTCTAATATAAACAAATATATATAAAATATTAATTTATTAAAATATTATTTAATATAATAGTGCTGTCTCGCTCTAAGATCACGCTGATAGAACGTAACACGCGCGTTAAGCAGGGGTGTCATTAATAAAATATTTAATATATTAAATTATTTATATAGATACTTAAAAATATTTTAATTATAATAAATATTATATTATTGCATAATGAAATAGACAAATGATATGTATATATAAAATATGAAAATTGTTTCATAATCTTTCATACCAGACACCCCTGTCTGACTGAAGTATGAAAATAATATATAAATAAGAAAAATCTAATATATTAATACATATATACTATATATAATAATATAATATATAATATTAATTTATATATTTAATATAATAGAACCGCCATGTTTTATGATCACGCAATTAATGACACCCGGGCGTTAACCGCTGTGGGGTGTCATTAATAAATCATTCAATATAATAAATTATTTATATTAAATATATTTACGTATTATACATAATATTAACATGTTATATTATATATAATATTAATATTACATAATATTAATTGATATATTTAATATAATATCACCGCCATGCTTTATGACACATTGACAGAACGTAACAGGGCGGTAACCGCTCTTGGGTGTCATTAATAAATTATTCAATATAATAAATTATCTATATCAAATATAATAATACATATATATATATATATATATATATATATATATTAATATATAATATTAATTTATATATTTAATATAATAGAACCGCCATGTTTTATGATCACACTGATAGAACGCAATTAATGACACCAGGGCGTTAACCGCTTTGGGGTGTCATTAATAAATTATTTAATATAATAGATTATTTATATTAAATATATAATATAATATATATATATATATATATATATATATATATTTATATAATATTAATATATTATAATTTATATATTTAATATAATATCACCGCCATGCTTTATGACACATTGACATAATGTAACAGGGCGGTAACCGCTCTTGAGTGTCATTAATAAATTATTCAATATAATAAATTATTTATATCAAATATAATAATACATATATATATATATATATATATATAGTTATAATTTATTATATAATATTAATTTATATTTAATATAGATAGAACCGCCATGTTTTGATCACACTGATAGAACGCAATTATGACACCCGGGCGTTAACCGCTTTGGGGGTGTATTAATAAATACTTAATATTATAAATTATTTATATTAAATATATTATATATTATATATAATATTAATTATTATATTATATAAATATTAATATTATATAATATTATTTATATTAATATAATAGCCCGCCATGCTTTATGACACATTGACAGAACGTAACCCGGGCGTTAACCGCTGCCGGTGTCATTATTATTATTGAATATAATAAATTTTTATATCAAAAATAATAATCAATTATATATATATATATATTAATAAATGATATTATTAATTTATTATATTAATATTATAACCACCGCCATGCTTTATGATCATACCGATAGAACGCAATTAATGACACCCCGGGCGTTAACCGTTGTAGGGTGTCATTAATAAATTATTTAATATAATAAATTATATCAAATTATAATAATACATATATATATGTAATATTAATATATTATATAATATTAATTTATATATTCAATATAATAGCACTGTCATGCTATATAGATAGAACGTTACCCGGCGTTAACCGCTATAGGGTGTTATTATGAATTATCTAATGTAAGATAATACTATAATATACACCAACGCCATATCAAGATTATTCCAGGAATAAAACGATTAAACATTTGGTAAATCAAGCTATGATGTAATCAAATGAGATAGATAATAATATCGTATCGGATCACCTTCGATAAAATTTTACCTCAAAATGTTTCAGTACTACTCAAATACTTTGTACGAGCACATCATTTAGCCATGGCTAAGTATAATAGATATTTAATATCTTTATTTAATATTTGCATGTCTACTCACCAATGTCGGCGAGAAGCCGCCCGCTTGATTCTAGGTTAGGAAGTTTCAAACCCTTTTATTTGCACTCGGGAGTGTTGTTTTGGATATCTGATATTATCCACTGCACAACGTATAACTTGAGATTAATTACGATATGTTTTAAGAAAATATAAGCTTTGTTTTAACAAATTACTCATAAGCAAAATCACCATTGATCACGACCGTGCGGGCGAACAGCGAATAGCGATGATTGACCAACCGCGCGGCGAACGCACTTCACGGTAAAGTAGAAATTGAATTCGCGGGTAGTCCTAAAAATGCCGCGAAGACAAAATCGACGGACACAGGACGATTATTTAAATGGGGTTATATGGGGTTCGAAGGCGATGAGATAAAGAAAAATTAGTATGAGAAATCATTTTTAATTGTAGTTTTTGAATATTTTGACTAATTATGCTCAGACTAAGTCTTAAAGATTTGAAGAACTTTGTAACATTCTCGCGCCAATTCAAACCGATACCTAGTAGTCACATCAAAAATTTGCCTCTTAAAATTAAGACTTCGTTCCATAGACGAAACAATTCATACAGAAATTGCACAAATCACATGCCATTCTTAAATCATCATCAAGATTCATCAAATTAAATCTTACCCTTGTTGAAGCAATTGAATTGCTCTCTTTCAATGGACTGAGAATGTTTTGTTTCATGCCGGTTTGATGTAAATTTTACTCTAGAACGGCGACATTTAACAATATATTTTATTAATTGCGTAATAAGGTTGTTTTCATTCTTTGTTTACATTCCCCAAAACACTAATAGCGGCGTAGAAGACCCAGACAATGTAGGCGCCGAATTTGAATTACCAAAACTAAATGTTGCACTGTCTTGAATGGCAAAATTATTCAATAATCAATTATTCACTAATCAATTATTCAATATCTATTTATTAATTATTCAATTAACGATTTGTTTTCTTTTTTCCAGATAAATAGCAAATACAGCGATGAACTTGCACAAGAATGCTTGGAATGGGTCAAAACCATTACTGGAGAGCCCGAAAATGTTAGCGGCGATATGGACAATTTTTACGAAGTATTGAAGGACGGCACACTGTTGTGCAAGTAAATATTTTTTTACATAAAATATATTAATTATAGTTATGTTTCATACCTATCAATCGAACTTTATTATTCGATTTAATATCCTGAAGTCTGTTTTCTCAAAAACATCCAATTTGCTTATTCTATATTTTTAAGTCATTCTAAATGGTTTTACACCTAAATTGGTAAAAGAGTAAGCGTGTCTGTGAGCCAGAAATAAACAGTTAAAAATTTTATCCAAATAGCTAAATCTCAATCTTGATTGATTACGTGGATTATTAGGAAATTCATTTTACTTGCCTCAAGGCAAAATGCCACTTACATCCAGTTTAATTAATTATATATATATATATATATATATATATATATATATTTGTAATATTTTTGCAGCCCAACCGTCGAATTAAAAATAAGATTAAATAACAAAATTATTTGTTAGCTTGAGCTTTCAAGTCTTTTTGAACCTATAAAGTATTAGAAGAATTTGTCATAACAAAAGATTGTTCTATAAATTCAGAATGCTGTACACAATCATTCTTGTGTAAATAGTCCATCATTATATAAAGAACATTTAGTATTTAATTATTTCTTCATTCCATTAATGTAAAATATTAAAGAACTCGATATGTTACCTTTTATCATATCATCACCATTATATTATGTTTATATTCATAATTTATTTGCAGATTAGTGAACTCTCTACAAGCTGGTTCTGTAAAGAAAGTCAATGAGAGCAAAATGGCTTTTAAATGCATGGAGAATATAAATGCTTTCTTGTGAAGCGCTAAAGCTGATGGGCGTCCTGCGCAAGAAACTTTCCAAACGGTTGATCTGTGGGAAAGACACAAATCTTAATTCTGTTGTCATTTGCCTACAATCATTAGGCGAAAGGTAATACAATTCAAATATAAAATTCATTATATACATGGCTTCATTAAAACAACGTCAATATTTCAATGTGAAAATGTATCAATAAATTAATGGATTACTTTTTCTTTAGGCTGGAAATTATGGTAAACCATCAATTGGACCAAAAGAAGCTGACAAGAATGTGCGCAACTTCAGCGAGGAGCAAATGCGTGCTGGTGGGGTTTCAAGGTGGTATTTCACTACAATATGGCTCAAACAAAGGTGCTACACAGAGTGGCATCAACTTTGGAAACACTAGACATATGTAGACATTTACTTATTTAAAATTAGTTAGATATGTAAGAGACCAATTAAATAATTCCAAATTATATATGTATATAGACAATAGAAGCATGGCCTCACTCTTGTGATGTGCAAATGTTTAAACTTCCAAATTTAAATATGAAATTATTTTGTTACCAATGTATTCATTAATTTAACTTGATTCAAAATCACTATTTTTATATATAAAATATATTGTTCAGCAACTCATTCAACAAAATTTATTAATCAGTATTTGTAAAGTTTATATAATGGTTACATTTGCAAATTAAATAAAATTATTTTATTATTTGAAATAAAACAAAATTATATGAATAATGCAACTTTTATTTTTAGTTCTAAAATATTTTGGACAATTATACTATGTTTTTTTTATTGTAATATTTAAATTATCTTTGGAAAGGATAATAATCCAACACGCTTTTCAGTTTCAACTTACGGTTTGGACTTTTCTTAGCCTGTGCTATTAATGCTTGTACTTCAGCTCTATAAGCTGGCGGTAAAAGTTCTTCTTCTAATGTGCAGCTTTCAACTACTGGATCTTGAGTTTTGTATATACATTTCCGGATGATATCGATGTCTCTACTATATCCTAAACAAAAATCGTGGTTTAAAATCATTGATAGTTGATTGAGAGAATATGAGATGTTAAAAATACTTAATAAAATTCAGATTAAAGAATTTTCAAAACTGACACAGGAGAAACTCAATTATTCAATATCATACTCAATATAAAAGAGTAATAAAATATAAGGCAACGACTATAATACAGTAATAAATAATATTATGCAGGCTAGTTTATGTAGATGTTAACAAATGCAGATGTATTGATTTAAAAATACTTCATTGATAAGAATTTAAGATAGTATTTTGACATTCTTTTTCCAACTACGAGATATTAACAATTTATTAATTGATTATCTTTTTGTTTTGAAATTATAATTTTATATCCAGAAAGTAATTTATGTGTATGAATGAATTTTAATTCAACACAATATCTATGTTGTGAGTATGTTTATTAGGCATATATGTAACGCCAAATGCAACAATTATAAATTAATACACTTTTTATTACAGCTGTAAAAATTAAGTAAATTTATTAACAAGAATATTCAAAAAGTTTAAAGAATTTCAACTAAGAGTAGTTTCCATCTTCGATAGTTGCAATTTAATTTTTAGCTTTCCTGATGTAGTCCAAATGTAAAATCAACTTTTGTTAATAGATAGTAGGCAATTTAGATATCTTTTGGTGAAAAAGAGTTGTTTAATCCATTGTGTTTGGCTTTTGTTGAAAGACGGAAAATTTTATTACAGCTAAGGTAAAGAGGCGTCTTAAGCTCACAAAAATTTGAGCTGTTTAAGGCAACAAAACCTTCAAAAATATTGGTTCGCCAAGTTTTGTTCTGGTGATTTTTCACCCAAAGCTGGAAAACGCTTTGGTCGTTCAGTTGAAGTTAGGTCTACATTAAACAACTAACAAAATTAAAAAATGCTGTTGAGAAAAAGTGGCCTGAATTGGCAAATTGAAATGGTGATTTATTCCATCATTGACATCACATATATTTGGCAACTCGACAATAATTATAGAAGCTTGCTCGGGATATTTTACTATATCCACCATACAGTCCTGACCTTGCACCTTTTGATTACGTTTTTTTCGATCTTTACAAAACTTCTCGAATGGTAAACAATTCAATGATTATGATGGAGTCATTTTGTACCCGATTAAGTTTTTTGCAAATGTAGACCAGAAGTTTTATAAAAGTGAAATGATAATGATGCTTGAAAAATGACAAAAAGTAATTAATTAAAATGAACAATGCATCATGAAATAAAGTTATTTAGTTCCATTGAAAAAAAGTCTTTTATTTTCTAACAAAAATCCGCAATTACTTAGTTGCCAACCTAATATGTGCTCAAACAAGAAAAGTATCATTGTAAGTAATGAGATTAATTAATATATTCTGGAAAATTTTATATAAATAATTTCTATTCATTTGCTACATAAAATTAAACAGGATATTCATACTAAAGAAATTATTCAATCAACTTGTAAGAATTATGTACCCCGTTATCACGTTTTATTGCCACATTTGAGTTAAGGGGCACAACTAGTGTAACCGCCAAAAAACTACTTTATCAATCATTTCAAAATTTTAGGAATATATTTATACATGTTTTAAGAATACATAGTGAAAATTTTGAAGAAAAAAATTAAATATTTTTTGAGTTATCGTCGATCTCCAACGGCGCGACAAAAAAAAGGCCCTTAACTGCTGCAGTGATTCAGGCCTTCTACGTGGATAAAATAAAAAAAAAAAAAAATCTCGTTAAACTACATAATATTGTCTGTAAAATAAACTACGATAAAAAAAATAAATCAAAAATTGACAAGATGGCGACGTTTTAAAAAAAAAGTCGAATTTTACCCAAAATTTTGGTCGTTTTCCAACTGCCAAATTTCGATTTTTGATCCGATCAAAAAATCGATAGTTCATTTTACGGAGAACTATATACACAACATGTAAAAAAAAATTGATAGTGATCGGATCATTCGTTTTTGAGTAATCACTGCAGCAAATTCAGATAATGCTTTTTCGAGAAAAACGTGTTTAAAGATAAAATGACCGTTGTACTCAGAAACTATTTGAGATATCGATTTGAAATTTTAATATGTTATTTTTAAAGGTGTAATCTACCGAAATATGAAAAAAAAAAACAAAAATCGATTTTTTCAAAATTTCACACTAGTTGTGCCCCTTAATCTATGTTACTACATAACCTTTTCTAAATTGTCCAAATTATTCAAAATTTTCAATATCTTACAGAATTTATTAAATGTGAATAAACCAAACAATACCTTCATGTAAATCAGAAATTGCGTTAGGAGGAGAATCAAACGTCATTAAAAAATAATTTCCTTGTCGATACACTTGTCCATGTACACTCATTTTAAATGGAAGGTCTCTGGCTCCTAAATTTTCTATTTTCCTAATAACTCCTCCCTTTTCGAATATGGATTCTGCTGTTCGTTTTAACGTAGAAAATATCTCATTCTGCAGGAACAAAAATAAGGAAATGACAAATGTTATTACACAGAGGATCTATGAATATATAAATGATATACAATACCCTTGGCATATTTCTTAAAATTAATGATAACTCATATGTGATCATCTTGAATTATTAAGTACAAGAAAATAAAAACGAAATTATGCAATTTTATAGTTGACAAATACAATTGTTCTAACCTATTTACATGTGAGGTTTATGATTGAAAGACATGATGACAACCATATGACTGTAAATTTGTCTATGAGCGCGTTATCCAAATTTGATTTTAAAGCAGGGCTTTTTGTAGTTTTTTCTCAATTATCAAGCAATAGCCATAACTATAAAAACTAGTGTATAAAATACATTATATGCTTTTAATGATCAATTTCTATACACAGAAAAAAGAAGGTGTTGGTGTTTTATTCACAAAGTTCTTCACCACATGTTGGCACGATGTGAGCTGTCAAATTTACTGTCAAGAAAATGGCCGCGAGAAAATGAAAGCGGGAATTTCAAACAGAAAATTTGAACATTATCAATCTCACAAATGTTCATCATTACAAGCTTCCACCTGCTGAATGTATCATACAATGCCAGTTATATAAAGAATACCTTAATTCGATTTTGAAAGAACACACTTGATGGTAAGTTTTCAAATATTATTTAAAATTTCGAAATAAATATAAAATATAAGCAATTATATTATTTTCTTTTGATAATTTTTAATATTGCAAGACGTCGAAGATAATTTTAATATCTATTTACAAATAAACGTAATTAATATAATACAACAAATATTAGTATATAATTAACTTAACTTTAAATGGAACAATTATATTTTCATTAATATTATATTAAATGAACTAAAAATCTATATTGCTATAGCTAGTTCAGTATATATTTATTACAAAAAGTGATTGCAATCGTGCAAAAAACAAATTGTTGTCGTTTTGCATTTTAAAAACACATTTCAATATGCAATCGCCATTCCACAGAAAAGATAGATCTTCTTTTTTGGTAATATAAAATTTATAAAACTTTTGTATGTTGTAGACTAAAATCTGGCCGAACATTTAAAGACTTAAAAAGTAGTTCTTACTAATGAAATTACCTTTGTCAGCATCTCCTAGTTCTAATTTGGTCAAAACATCAAAGAGTACAATCTTTTATACGTCTCTCTTTATGTTTCAGCTATTCTCCTCACTCGAGTGATACAGATTTGTGATCACAAATGAAATAAAGCCACAGTCATGTTTCTTCAATATTATGTAAAGTATTACCATTAATCTCAAAGCAATCAAGTATAACTTTATAAGAAGCTATATGAATTTGTAGTAATTTTATATCCATAATTAGACAATGTTGATCATAACTGCAACTATTATACAAAGTCATGTCTTAGAATAATAGTAACTTTACTTCATCACTCTTCTGCAATTTAGTTTTAATATATACTCATGATTTGAAAGTGCTGTTCCATATTCATCCGATAAAATTAATAAAAAAAATAGACACTTTGTTATATACTGAGGCTACTGATTTGTTAGATTAAATTATATACTTAATTTGTGAATATAAATATTATGTGATTTATAATGTATTTATACATAAAGTATAAAATTATATGAGAAATAGCAATCTGTAAATTTGTAAATAAATATGAAGTGAATTAATTTTTTAAAATCTGATGAAAAACTTTAAATCAAGTATATTTCAAGTTCCAAATCAATTTCTTCACTAACATAGCTCGATAGACATCTTGTACATCTTTGAAACCTTTCTATCATTGTTATTATTTTTTAGTTTACCATCGTCTCAATCACCATCACTTTGTATGTTATTGTATTTGTAAATTTCAAGTTCACTAACAAATTCTTCAAATTTCACATATTAACCAAAACCATTGTCACTATAATACATTCCTTACTTCTGTATATATATTCGATAATAGATATAGTACGTATGGTAAATGAAGTTCACGAAAGTAATAAAATTACTTTTTCTATTATTACTGAAACAAATTACAATAAAATTATCATAATTATTCTTGTTCAATAGTGTTTAAACTCAAATGATATCTTAGGCACATCATTTGCTTCTGGGGCAAAGTTTCAGATGGTAAATGTCACCAAAGTGTTAATAAAGATTACAGTTGCAATATATATAATATAAATGATATTCTACCAATTTCAAAGCCAATGAACATATAATTTTGTATTTAAATCTTCATAGCTTTTATAATCAAACATCTTTAGTAAATATAATTTTATAAATATATAATTTAAAATTTTGATAATGTAACATTAAATATAGCAAAATAATGAATACTGAATCAAATAAATGTGAAATTTAGCATGAATGTGATATAGTATGAATTTAAAAGTAATGATAATAAAAAAATAATATATATAGCGTAAAATTCGAAAACTTCATGTTTGCCGCCTTCACTCTTCTTCTTCTTCTTCCGCCTCTTCCTCTTCTTCTTCTTCCTCTTCTTCATCCTTTCGAGAATTGTCATCTAATTTTTCTTCAACTATTTTTTCTTCTTTATCGTCTTCTTTAGTATTTTCTATGTTTTCCTCAGACTTTTCTTCAGTTGCTTCTTCGTGCTCCGTTCCATTTTTCTCATTAAAATCTTCATCAATATTATTCATACCTATTTTGTCGATGACATCGCTAACGGCGCTATTAACTTCATTTTGTTTGTTATTAATTTCCTCTTGTTTGCTGATTCTTTCTCCATTGAATTCACTTTCAATCTACAATGTTAAAAAAAAAGGTTTTTGTATATGATAAGTGAGTGATGCAATGATTTAAAAATATACAATAAATATATAAATGATATATAGAGTGTCCCAGAAATCAAATCTATCTTGCTTATTAAGCTTGTGCGAACAAAAAGCATTTAAACTGAATGTGAGTAAAATGTATTAGAAAATTAGTGGCGATTTTTTCACGGCTTTTATTTTATTAACTTCCGTAGGGTAAGTTATTGTAATCATCCAAAAATCGAAATTGAAAATTTTTACATTTAAGCATACCTTTTTTTTTTTTTTTTTTTTTTTTTTTATTTCTTTTAATTTTAACAATCAGATTACAGTACAATCTATAAGTTAAAAGTTATGGTATTGAAAATCAAAATCAAAAAGAAAAAAAAAAATAGAATAAAGGAAATTAAAGAAAAGAAATAGAATAAATGAATGAATAAATAATAATTAAAATAATAGTATTAATAATAAAAACGATAATCAATAATAAATAATATTTAAAAATAACTTGTATGAAAATTTTCCTGTGCGAAACAGGGAAATTATGTTGTTGACCGTAGATCGCTGGGCCATTTTCTTTTCAGGCGTTTTAATTTTTCGGCTGTTTGTACTATTTGCATTTCCGGATTGACGTGTGCATCCAATTTGTTTTGAAAGATAAAACTTCTGTTCTTAATAACTTCCGCCACTGTTGGAATTTTTAGGTCTTTATGGATCATGTGGTTGGTCATAAACCACGGAGCCTTACAAATCATTCTCAGAGTTTTGTTTTGAACTCTCTGGATTATTTGAATGTTACTCTTTGAGCATACCTAAGAAAAAATACATGTGTTTTTTTTGTATAGCGAAGGAAATGCCTTTATGCATCCCAGACTAGAAAATACATGTGTGTGTGTCTGTATGTATGGATACAATTTTTCGTCCACGTTTTCAGGCGTACGGATTAACCGATTTGAAGCGTTTAAAAACATTCAATTCGAAACGGGAGATGTCCTGATTAGTTTTTGGCAAAGACGGGTCCAGCCGTTTCGGAGACGCGGAGCAAAGAGTGCAGAAAATAGAAATCGAGTTTTCGAAAGAACGGAGCATCCGATTTGAATGATCCAAAAAACATTCAATTCGTAATGACGGGGAGAAGTGGTGATTAGTTTTTGGCAAAGGCAGGTCCACCCGTTACGGAGATAAAGAGCAAAGCATGCAGAAAATAGATATCGAGTTTTTGAGAGATCGAAGCATCCGATTTGAATGATTCAGAAAACTTTCTACTTATGTTGACAAAACAATTGCTTTTGGTAAAAAAAAATTTTAATATTATTTTTTTTTAATTTCAAAATAAAATTAATTTTTTTTTTCTAGTTAAAGTTCTGAAGCTCACTAATATACTTCAAATAAATATTTTAACTTTGCAATTCAGTTTATATAATACTTAACAATTAGAATGTCCTTCATTTTAAATTCTATTGATTAAGTTTTGTTTATTTAGTTTTCACACATATAAATTACAGTATTTATAATAATCTGTTTGAAAACATTTAATATTCCTCGAATATTTCATCACGGTACGTGAAGTTCCAGAAATTTGCCTTTAGGCACAATGCCATTCACCACTAGTTTACTCTTTTCTTTTAGTTGTATAAAACCATATAAAACTAACAAGTATTTTACCATTTTGAATTTCTGATTAAATGCACAAACTTTTAATGGAACTAGCCAAGGCACAGTAGTATTTTGTTTTTAAAGGATTTTTTCAAAGTCAAAAAGATAATGAAAACTTTAAGTTCACAGTTTAACAAATAGTGTCAGTATTTTTGACTGTGGCCCCAAAAATGTTATTTCAGCTAAGGTTCCAAAGCTTAAATGAACAAAATCAATAAAATTAACTACAATAACCGAAAAATGGTCACAGTTTGAGCCTTTTTTCACCTTTTTTCAGCATGACGTTAAGTTCTGAGACACCTTGTATAAAAAATAGAAGAGTAAATAAATGTTATGAAAGTAACAAGTCCTTTTACAAGAATGAAAAAAGTTTAGAATAACATTTTAGATGAAGTTTAGAGTAATATTTATACTAACCCTTTCAAGTTTCAGAAATTCTTCAAGTTTGTCGATTTCGTTTGCAATGTCAAACCCATCATAATCTCCACAATAAGTTTCATCATTAAAAATCTGGAAATTATATAAATCATGAAACAGCTCAATCTAATGTAAGTTTCTCATATAATTACAAGAATTTACCTGAGGGGGCAATGGAACGCACTTTGTTTTCGTTTTCTCAGAATTAACTGTAATAAATCATTGATTTCATTAATCAGATGATGGAAAATAATGATGTAATTCAAAAAGAAGTAACAGAAA